TAAATTAGTTCACCATTGCGGAAGGCAGTATGACAATTCCTCAAAGAACTAAAGAAGGAATTACCATTCGACCCAGCAATCCCATTACTGGGTATATACCCAAAGGAATATAAATTGTTCCATTATAAAGACACATGCACATTTATGTTCATTGCAGTGCTAGTCACAATAGCAAAGACATGGAATCAGCTTAAATGCCCATCAATAATAGACTGGATAAAGAAAATGTATTTTCCAGTATATACTGTGGAATACTATACAGCCATAAAAAAGGAGGAGATCATGGCCTTTGCAGGGACATGGATGGAGCTGGAAGCCATTATCTTTAGCAAACTAATGCAGGAACAGAAAACCAAATACTGCATGTTCTCACTAATAAATGGGAGCTAAATGATGAGAACACATGGACACACAGAGAGGAACACACACTGGGGTCTATGGGAGAGTGAAGGGTGGCAGGAGGGAAAGGATCAGGAAAAATAACTAATGGATATTAGGCTTAATGCCTGGGTGATTAAATAATCTGTACAACGAACCCCTGTGACACACATTTACCTATGTAGTAAAACACATCCCGCACATGTACCCCTGAACTTAAAAGTTAAAAAACTGCCTGTTTAATAACCGTAAAAACCAAATCCAAACTTCACCCCCTCTGATTTAATGTAGAACCTTAAGTATGCTACAAAATTCATTAATGAGATTTAGCTTTTTCTTAAGAAGAATTCGAATTTAAACTCATACAGGAATATGGGAATAGGTGAGATGAAGGTAGTCTACCTTTGACAATCTTTTCAATTTCTTTTTAGTTACTGATTTATACAAGTTTTCTAACTTCTTTGTGCTTCAAGTTTGGTGATTTGTATTTTCTTTTAAAAAATCACCTATTGGCTGGACGTGGTGGCTCACGCCTGTAATCTCAGCACTTTGGAAGGCTGAGGCAGGCAAATCACAAGGTCAGGAGATCGAGATCATCCTGACCAACTTGGTGAAACCGTTTCTACTAAAAAAAATACAAAAATTAGCTGGGTGCGGTGGCACACAACTGTATTTCTGGCTACTCGGGAGGCTGAGGCAGAGAATCACCTGAACCTGGGAGGCAGAGGTTGCAGTGAGCCAAGATCATGCCACTGCACTCCAGCCTGGCAACAGAGCAAGACTCTGTCTCAAAGAAAAAGAAAAAAATCACCTATTTTTCTCAGATTTTCATATTTATTTGGCCTAAACTTGAACATTATATGTCTTTACAACTTTAAATATCTCCATATTAGTGCCTATAGTCTTTCATATTTTGTAATGTTGTACATTTACATTTCAAAGAATCAGGTTTTAATTTTATCATTTCTTATGTTTTTTTAAAGTGCTAATTCATTAGTGTCTATTTCTATCCTTATTAACTCCTTGTTCCTACATTCTTCTGATTTATTTTGTTTTTTATCTGTGTTTTTTTTTTTTTTCTTCATATTCGCTCTGTTGCCCAGCCTGGATCATAGCTCACTGCAGCCTCAAGTGATCCTCCTGCATCATCAGCCTGCCAGGTAGCTAGGTCTGCAAGCATGATCCACCCTACTAGGCCCTTCTTCTGGTTTCTTGAGTTAGGTGCTTATTTACAATATCTTCTGGTTGTCAATAAAAATATGTAAGGTTATAAATTTTTCTTTAAATAAAGCTTTGCCCAAATCCCATAGAATTTGATAAAGTCTTCTTTAGTCTAAAAGCTATTTTTAAAAGTTTAAAATTTCTAGGGGATTAGTTCTTTTTTGGTGAGAGAGAAGCTTTTTGTAGTTAATCTCAAGTTTAATGCATTGCATTAACAAGATGTGGCCTGTTATGATTTCTACTTTTAAGAATTAATATTTTTCTTTGTGGTCTTGTACATGATCGATTTTTAAAAGTGTTTCAGAAACATCATAATTTTATCCTCTGTTCAGTGCAAATTTATATACATAGTGAGCTCTCTAGTGTACTAGACTAATTATTCAAATCCTTGCTGTCTTTGACACCTGTTTTAAAGTTTCCTTCTTGGCCAGGCATGGTGGCTCCCACCTGTAATCCTAGCACTTTGGGAGGTTAAGGCAAGAAGACTGTTTGAGCCCAAAGAGTTCAAGACTAGACTAGGCAACAAACTGAGACTGTGTCTCTATCAAAACAATGTTTAAAAAAAAATTTAGCTGAGTGTGGTGGAGCATGCCTGTAGTCCCAGCTACTGGGGAGGCTGAGGTAGGAGGATTGCTTGAGTCCAGGAGGCAGAGACTGTGCCCTGGCACTCCAGGCTGGGTGACAGAGCGAGACCTTGTCTCAAAACAAAACAAAAAAAACTGCCTTAAAATACTTTTGTCAAATTTTCTTTTTCTAAAAGTTTTACTTTATGAAACTTTTGATGCAACTTTATGCTCTGAAAGCTTACTTCCATCTAAATTACTGTTCACCCCATAATCTCTTAATTTCCTTCTGGCTCTTAAACCCCAAGATTCTACTGCTAGAAATGGAATCCAGAGAACAATGAGTTTCTGGTCTGGACCGATGTTCAGCTAGGCAATACTGCTGAACTCTCTGTAGTATAAAAACACCAGATCCATCAATTGAGTCTGGTGTTTTTATGCTACAGAAATCCCTGATCGCCTGGCACGGTGGCTCACGCTGGTAGTCCCAGAACTTTGGGAGGCCAAGGCAGGCGGATCACGAGGTCAGGAGCTCGAGATCAGCCTGGTCAACATAGTGAAACCCCATCTCTACTAAAAATACAAAATATTAGGCGGGCATAGTGGTGTGCGCCTGTAATCCCAGCTACTTGGGAGGCTGAGGCAGAAGAATCACGTGAATCTGGGAGGCGGAGGTTGCAGGGAGCTGAGATCGCGCCACTGCACTTCAGCCTGGGTGACAGAGCGAGATTCCGTCTCAAAAATAAACAAAATAAATAAATTTTAAAAATCTATCTATATCTGATCATTAGCATCTATCTATCTATCTATCTCTGATCATTTGCATCCAGGTCACCGGTACCAGTTAAATGTCAAGAGGGTAATAACACGATTTAACCTGTAACTCTATAAAAATCTCTCTCTCTTTGACAGGTCTGATCGACCTTCCTCCCTGTAAAGACAAAAATTGTCTTAACATCTAAGAGGAACCAGATTGCGGCGAAACGGGTGCTATGAATCCTGAGTTTTAGCTCTTGCACTACGTCTCAGTGTGACATCAGATCCCAATTTCCTCACCACGAAAGCCAACAAGCTATTAAAACTCCCTTAGAAGTAGCTTTAATCCCTAAAAACAAGACCAAAAATATTAACAGAGTGCTTGGGCCTCTGGAACTGAGCCAGCACTGGAGTTTTGCTTGGTCGTCTTCTCTCTTCCCCTTCAAGATTAACGATCTGGAGGGAATTCTGGTGAGTTCGAGTTCTCCTAACTTGGGAGGGACTACCAGAAGCCCAGCGAGCAGCCAGTAACACAATCTCTGGGTATTCCTTCAGCCTCCTCAACACATCTTCTCCTACCTCGCCTTCCTCCGCTGCAGCTTCTTTTAAATCCGCATCTGCGTCTCCGTCAGTTTCCTCTGGGATTCCATCCGTGTCGGTAGCCCCCTGGTCCCCCGGCGCAGCGACCGTCTCATCCGACTCCCCTGTCTCTCCACCTTTGTCGGTGGGCGACTCGCGGGCATCGTCCATCGCGGATAGGATTGGAGGGGAGAGGAGATTGCAGCACTGTCCGAGGCTGGAGCTCGGAACCCCGAGCTGCACAGGACAGGATCTTACTTCCTGTAGTCGCGCCGCGATGACATCACCCCTACCGCTCTCCTGAGGGGTCATTTTGAGGCGCGCGTAGAGGAGACTTGACTCATTTTAACTTTGGTTTGGCAACAGTGGGGAGCGGGAAAATTGGACGTAAAGAGTTCATATTGTGGATCCTCCTCACTAGGAAACCAGCACTTGTGAAGGAGCGCAGTTTTGTTTACTAAAGAAGTTTTTCATTTTCGCCTATCTAAAAATGCAATGTCAGTTAATCCCTTCTTTAACCCCTCAGAGTAAAGTTGGGGGACTGGGGAAAAAACTCAGTTCCGTTTTATGGCGGTGTCGTGGAATGAGGCTACCGGGGATTGGCAAACTTTCAGGCAGGGACTCAACCTTGTATATTTCCACTGGCCAGAGTCCGCGGGCCTGTGTGTACATGGAATTGCTAGCATTTCCCCTGCATTCCGCAAGCACCTTAACAACAACAACAAAAAGTCATATAGCTTGAGCAGAATTTATCCAATTCATTTATTCATCCACAACTATTGACTACGTACTTCGATTTAGAAACAGTGCTAATACCAGGGAACAAAACATATGTAGTTTCTACCCAATTAAATGATTATTTTTCAGTTCGCCGGTACTCAAGATTGAGGTTGATTTCCACAAACCTGACACTTTTCTATCAGTTTGGTTAATCTTATCAAAACTAAGAGGAAAGCTTGAAGAGAGGAAGGTGTCTCCTTTGAACGTTTCACTTTTAATGAACTATTTCGTGTACTGGGAGGATGAATGAAGTGGTGAGGATATTTCTATTTTAAAACTTTCTTCTCTTCCCTCATTGAGGTACGAGGGGGAGGGCGTTTTACTCACCTGGGTATGACTAGATACCCGCACCTACTACATATTTAATTTATGTTTGCTGAAAGAATGGACTTGGAAATGTAGGTGCGCGTTACCATATTTATCTCTTTGTTTCTAGCTGCCTGGACGAATTACCGTATTTCCTGTCCCAGGAGCTCCCAAAACCTTTGGGGAAGGAACTCACTTCGGGAGGCGCGTACAGGTGAGCCTGTTTGTCTCTTTCCACCTGTATAACGGTGGCCCACAAGGCGCTGTCCCCATGCCCTCAGAGGCCTGTATCGGCCCAGAGAAGTCCACCTGCGCTGGTCCGTGGAGCCCCGCCCAGCTAGGTGAGCAAGGGGGCGGGGCGCGGGGGCGCGGTGACGCGTGACGCCAGATCCCGGAAGTGACGCGCTCGTGGGGAAAAGGCAGGGAGGGGGTGGTGTCCCCAGCCGGTTTGGGGGGTGCGTTGCCCGGAGACGGAAAGTTTGGGAGCCGGAGCAGGCTCGGCTGCAGCCCCCGGGACGGGGTCCAGCGGGTGGCGGCCCTGGGGATGGGGAAGGAGCAGGAGCTGCTGGAGGCGGCCCGCACCGGGCACCTCCCGGCGGTGGAGAAGCTGCTGTCCGGGAAGCGGCTCTCATCAGGCTTCGGGGGCGGCGGCGGCGTCTCTGGGGGCGGCGGCGGCGGTGGCGGCGGCGGTGGCGGCCTCGGCTCTTCCAGCCACCCTCTCTCCAGTCTGCTCAGGTGGGTACGCGCCGGGGCCCGGCCGCTGCCTGCAGACCCCTTCTCCCCCACCGGTCTCTTGGTCCCCAGAGAGATCGGGACTCCTGAGACCCGGGCGGGGTGGGCTTGTGGCGTGCCTGGGGCGAGGCAGGCGGCCGGCGGGCTGGGGAACCGGAGGGCGCGCGGGTCCGGGTCCACGCCACTCCGGGCTCTCCTGGTCTTCCGTCCTGACCAGGCTGCGAAGAATGGTGGGAGTGCCCAGGTGGCAGCCTCCGCCGCATGGCACAGCCAGGCTTCACCCTCGCTCGCTATAGGGTGCCAGCTGTCGTTGCTCACAAAAGCCAATTTAGAGCAAATATGTGTATCATATGTATACATATGATCTCGCTCACCTCCTGCAGAAACTCCCACGCCCTGTATAATCTCGAGGCTTCTCTGGAGGAAATTCGTTGATTCTCTTAAGGAACTTGGAACCTCCCAACAGGCTACGCAGGACCTCGCTTTTTTTTTTTTTTCCCCAGACGGAGTCTTGCTTTGTCACCCAGGCTGGAGTGCAGTGGCTCGATCTCGGCTCACTGCAACCTCTGCCTCCCGGCTTTAAGCAATTCTGCTCTCAGCCTCCCGAGTAGCTGGGATTACAGGCGCACACCACCACATCCTCCTAATTTTTGTATTTTTAGTAGAGGCAGGAGTTTCACCATGTTGGCCTGGCTGGTCTTGAACTGCTGACCTCGTGTTCTGCTCCCCCCACCTCGGCCTCCCAAAGTGCTGAAATTACGGGCGTGAGCCACCTCGCCCGGCCCCTTGCTTTTGTTTCTATTAAAATTGCCTCTGGATTTATCATGTTCAAGATGTCTTTGAGCTCCTCTTGTCCTTGAAGTTCAAATTGTAGTTCTTTGTAGTGAACTTCATTGGATTAGTCTAAGTGGTAGGAGTCATCTGGGAGCTTATTTACCTAGAAATAAAGGCGGAAAGATTTGTTTAGGAAACTGAGGAATGCCTTAAACTTTTCCAAGGTCTGTTAAACGCTTGAATCTGGAGCTGCAAGGACCGATGAAAGATCAGTTTTGTGTGGCTTCAAAGTGGGATTGGAGGTGCTTTGTGAGTGTGAGTTAAATGTGTTGGTTCAGCAGCGCTTTCATAGCCTGATTTCTTTTTCCTTCCTTGTTCTTTTGAGGTTTTTGAGAAGTGGAAGTTCATTTAGAAATGGCTTCGTTAGCTTTTGTTCCCCATTACTTTATGTAACTTCAGTTTGAGTGAGCTTGGACCACAGAAGGCTAAGGCTCTAGTAAATTGTTATTAATAGATATTAAGCACTGAGTACCAACCCAGATCTTTACGGGAAGATTTTAAAAAGCAGCATAAGTAGGTACTTAAGAGTTGTTGAAGAAATAAAAGTATCAATTGGAGGACAATAGATTTCTAAATAACTGGATGGTGGATGGTATTACTCACTGTAATTGCTAGCAGTTGAGACAACAGAGACATCATTGAGGGATGGAGTGGAGGTCAGGGCTTCCAGAAGGCGGGAGACTTAAGCTGGCCTTGAAGGATGTGTGGATTTGAGTAGGTGAGTTATGATGGACGTGTTTCAGGTGGGTACCCCATGTTCAGAGGCACAGAAATGAGAACGGAAACTCATTTGGTGCTCCTGGGGCAGTAGGAGAACTTCCTGCCTGGACCCTTGAGAGTCTGGGCATAATAAAAGTAAATAATAATGGATGGATATACTTCTGTATGTCATATTTGTATTCTCAGTCCCTAGTTCAACTGATAACTTACAGGTGTTCAATAAATATACAGCGAATGCATGAATTGGATTCTGGATCTTACCTGGATTTGCCACTCTGCAGTTCTGCTGTCTGAGAGGTGACAAGACTATACAAGTTTGGAGATGCCTCTGTCTTTAATGAGTTGTTGACATAGCATTTGGAGATTTTCCAGAGATATCTGAGCCCTCAGCATATCCTACTAAAGTGAGAAGTTTCTCATATCTCCCACCTTCAAGTACAGGTCAAGTTATTCTTTTTTGTTGTTGAGATGGAGTCTCGCCCTGTCGCCCGGCTGGAGTGCACTGGCTCAATCTTGGCTCACTGCATCCTTCACCTCCCAAGTTCATGCGATTTTCCTGCACCAGCCTCCCGAGTAGCTGGGACTACAGGCACATGCCACCCCACCCAGCTAATTTTTATATTTTTAGTAGAAATGGGATTTCACCATGTTGGCCAGGATGGTCTCTATCTCTTGATTTCATGATCCACTTGTCTTGGCCTCCCAGAGTGCTGGGATTACAGGCATAAGGCTCCGTGCCCGGGTCAGGTCAAGTTATTCTTGGTGTGCTCACTCAGACCGTTGAAATTCTGCTGAGTATTTAACTGCCATATAGTTAATATTGTTAAGCAAGACTAGGAAATCTGTCGAGCACAGTGCTTCTACTTTGGGCCTCTTGCTTATGTGTCCTGTCTCTGCCATAAAGTGTGGATGGTAACCCTCCATTCCCCAGAGTTAGAGAGCTGCTCCCCTTGACTTGCTTCTGTGTCTTTTATAAAGGGGGGAGATGCCTAAGAGCTTCCCAACCTCTTATTCTTGTGACTCCTAGGGGCATGGAGGATCTGGAGGCACTAGTTACACTAATTAAAGGTGACTCTGGTTAAATCTAGTGAAAGATTTCTGAGCAAATGAGACCATACCTAGGTCAGTATGTCCTCCCTTTTTAGATTTGGACATAGTAAAGGGTAGATCACCTCTACCCCCAACCCCCTCTTTTCCCCTAAAGACCCTGGATTATTTAATGAGAGCTGTGGAATCATAGCTTCAGATCTGGCCCTTGTATTAGGTGCCATATTCTACCCCCATTTGTACTGCCAACTGTAACCTGCCTTTGTGCAGGTGTCTGAGTGATGAAGTAAAGCTGGCAGGAATAGGAGCTTACAGTTGCAGGGGAATAATTGTTCCAAACCACACATGTGTTTGTGGATTCATCTGTTTATGTTCCCCCAGCCCCTATTCCACAAAGGCTTTCTGTTTATTCTTAAGCTACAATATGCCCTCTTCTCTTACTCATCCCTTTTCCTCTACACAGCTTGGGCTTGGGTTTTAACTTCTGAAAGCCCTTCCTGATGACCCTAATACACACAGATCTCTCAAGCTTCTACGTCTTTGGAGCATGTCATCTGTAGTCATTCTTTGCTTGCATAGCTTTCACAGTTGATCGCGTTGGCCTGGCAGTATAATATTTACATTTAGTGACCTTCGCTGATTGATACAGTACCTGAGAATCAGAAAGTCAGCAAAGAAGACTTCTACTAGAAAAAATGTTGTTATAAACTTTGTGTTCTTCCAGCCTTCCTATTTACTGGACATTTATTCAGAGATAGTATGGCATTATACTTAAGACCACTTGTGCTTGGGTCAGACTACCTGGATTTATGTTCCGCTACCACCACTGACTAGCTGTTTGACATTATTTAAGTTAACCACTTTGGTTGTTTTGTTGTGTTTTTTTTTTTTTTGACAGAGTCTTGATCTGTTGTTCAGGCTGGAGTGCAGTGGCACAATCTCAGCTCACTGTAACCTCCGCCTCTCGGTTCAAGCAATTCTCCTGCCTCAGCCTCCCGAGTAGTTGGGACTACAGGCATGTGCCACCACACCTGGCTAATTTTTTTGTATTTTTAGTAGAGACAGGGTTTCACCATGTTAACCAGGATGGCCTCCATCTCCTGACCTCGTGATCCACCCGCCTCGGCCTCCCAAAGTGCTGGGATTATAGGCATAAGGCACTGGGCCCAGCTTTCAAGTTGACCACTTTGATACTGAATGTCTGCATCTGTAAAATGGGGATAATACTAATAGGTATTATCTTAGATAATGAGCGTAAGGAACTTACCGTAATTCCTGGCATATTCTAAGTGCTCAATTTTAGTCATCCTCAGTTCAGCACATACGGTTTTGCTGTGCTTCACCTGTTTTGTGCAAAGTATCATGCCAGACACATTACTTATTTTTATTTTAGTAGAGACAGGGTCTCACTCTGTTGTCCAGGCTAGTCTCAAACTCCTGGGCTCAAACGATCTTCCTGCCCCTGCCTCCCAAAGTGCTGGGATTACAGGTGTGAGCCACAACGCACAGCCTGACACATTTTAAATGGTGTTTTTTCATGCTTGGGGACCTGTTTTCCAAGCATGGCAGATTAGAAAGAGTAAATAAGGGAGAGGACTCATTCATGTACCCAGTGTTTACCCATGATATACTTTGTGCGAGGCCAAGTGATTGCTAGATGCACTGCAAAATATATCTCAGACCTGGCACACTGTAGGTCCTCTATCAGAATTAGCCCCTCTCGCCATACATGTTCTGTTCCCTTACAGAGTTTTTTTTTTTTTTGAGATAGAGTTTTGCTCTTGTTGCCTAGGCTAGAGGACAATGGCGCAATCTCAGCTCACCACAATTTTGCCTCCTGGCTTCCAGTGATTCTCCTGCCTCAGCCTCCCAAGTAGCTGAGATTACAGGCATGTGCCATACCTGGCTAATTTATTTTTTGTATTTTTAGTAGAGACAGAGTTTCTCCATGTTGGCCAGGCTGGTCTCAAACTCCTGACCTCAGGTGATCCGCATGCCTCAGCCTCTCCCAAAGTGCTGGGATGAGAGGTGTGAGCCACAGCGCCTGGCCTTTACAGTTTATAGTAGTATGATATGTCTGTGTGACAGATCGACAAAAAAGAGACAGAGAAAGCATACAAATTTAGCATAATTTATCCCACCTCCTGGCTGTTTGAAGCTATTAATATAAGTGTATATAGCCGTATACTTATGTAAGCCCCAAGCATCATTTTACTGTGTCTTTGTGCTATGATTTATGTTATTATGACTATTAGCCAGCAAATAAAGATTAAATTATGTTCAATATAGCTTGTTAGCGAAAGCAGAAAAAAAAAATTTAGTTTTCTATCCAAAATTATTTAAATTTAATTTTTGTTACTTAGAAGGATAAGCAATAGATTATCTAGAAAGTACAGTTATTC